ACAGAACATCCCACAGCACCCAACGCTGACACTGACAATTCCCACAAACAAGCAGACAGGAGATTCTCCACAGTGGGCCAATTTCCACAAATCAATCCTTAAAACACAAACATGTTTTCATTCTATCATTTTCTGATGAATTAGCATGGAGCAGCCTATGGAGAATCAGTGCTTTATTCCATGTCTAACATCCTCCTTCTGAGGGAAGAGAACATCTGGCTATAGAGGACAGTAACTTCTCTGCCCAAACCAGGGCTCGTAACTTAGCCCACCTGTAACCCTTCTCACCACAGACACTTTTATAGGACCCCAGTTATACAGGTAAATAAGTTTACAAATCAAACAGTATTGATGAATCACAGATTATTTGAAAGCAATTATTTGGTTTACACAAGATTTTGACATTTAAAGAATTTCATGCCAATAATACTTGTGTTTGTTTCACAAAAGAAAGTTCTGATGAATATTTGATACTGCAAGACAGAAAGCTTTTAAATGTTTCGCAGCTGATTGATATTTTGATTTTATAATCTTCAGTACTGAGCACACTACATAAACACATATATGGCATAAGAATGTCTAAAGCCATTTCAGAAATTATTGGAAATTCTGTCATAATACCAAGCCAAAAATCATTTACTGATTTTTTTTAAATGAAACTCAAGTCAAAAATTTAAGCAAAAAATACAAATTTCTTTCTTGAGACACATCTTGCTATTTAACCCTGGCTTGCCTGAAACTCACTATGTAGACCAGGGTGGCCTTGAATTTGTGGGTAACTCCTCTGCTTCTGCCTCCTGAGTAAGATTATAGGCATGTTCTACCTCACCCAGCTCTTCAAGCAGCAATATTTAAGATCCAACATTCCAGTACGATACACCCCGGATACGCTCATTTGATATATGCATGCAGAGGAATGATGGGGGAAGATACCAAGTCCTTGTTTTCTTTAGACTATTGTTTCTGTAAGAGAAGAAACTTTGTATGTCCAGTTACAAACCCTACCATCCATACATATAATAACATAATAACCACAATTCTGACCCTAAGTGTTTCAGGAGGCATTCACAAGGGGAAGGCTGTGCATTTAGAACTCAATGACTCGACCCAGCTTGGTGGAGGCAAATGTTACCAAAGGTGCCTCAGATTCATCATTCATTTGATTTAGAATTAAGCCTGCAACTCAGAAATCTTTTACTGTAGCTCAAGTTTTCCTGACCCCCACATTCAGTTACAGGACCCACAGTTCAAGAAGCTGGGGCCCAGGCTAGCAGACTAGCAAACTCCAGTATGCAAGGCACTCAAGTCCACTCCTTTTCTGTAAAACCCAAGAACACTTGTGACACAGTATTACAAAACAAAATCTTCGATTTTAAAAAAATACAGCATGTTCTGTCAGTGGTGCTGTGAATGTGTCCCAAAGCAGACTATGGAGATGGCCACATAGTAAACTGGCTACTTTCAATGAATGAATTAAATGGCAGGTGACTTCCCCTCAACAAAGCCATTTTTTAAGAGCTCAAATAAGATTATTCCACACAATTTGAAAATGACAGTGATATTTCTAAGTTAGGTTACTGTTTTATACTTGTTATTTCAAATATACATGCAAATAATTTTAATAATATATACATGTATAACAATCTCATTTGACTACTACATCTACATGCCCAAAGGTTTTAAAATCAAATTCCAAGGACCTTCTCAAGGAAAAAAAAAAAACCTTGTGTTTAACTTCACTTCATATTTACTGGATCACATGTATGTTAAAGGTATCCTTAAAAAAAAAAAAAAAAAAGAACAACATGTCTATGAGCGACAGATGTAGCAGAAAGCAGAATCAGTTTAAAAGCTTGCAGGCTACCCAGCCTGGAGTATTCCATGTAGCTGCAGAGACAGGACACCCTGCTCCAATGCTTCCCTAAAGTTATGACATTCTACATCTTAGTCAATAAGAAATGACTCCCAAAAGTTGTCTTCTGACCTCTACATACACACTGTGGTGCGCTCTCTCTTTCTCTCTCTCTCTCATACACACAGAAATAAATATGAAGAAAAGGAAAGAAGAAACTGTATATAAAGTAGTTCTGTGTGATTCAATAAATATGGTTAATAACATGTAAGGATTATGGCTTTAAGTTTCTTTTTCTGAAGAATCCAATTATATGAAACTGCTTAACCTTCAAGATTTCACTAAAAAAAAAATCATGATTCTGTATTTTCAACATCTGTCATGCTATATTATTTTCCTATGTTAAATTGGCAACTTTTACTAAGTTAAAAAACATACTTACAAATGTATCACATAACCAGTGCCGAAAAGTACACGGCAACTCCAATCCCCCAAATCAATTACACCAGAGGTGAATGACCAAGGAAAAATGAATCTGCACACACGGTTGAAAAGAAGACAGTGGCAGTCCTAGGTGTGTGGACAGCAGTGTAACTCTCCAGCAAGGTAACCTAGGACAATCACACTCCTACCCAGCTCATCCGCTCAACTGTTGTAAGAATCATGTGATATGAGACTTGTAGACTTCGAAAAAAATTAAAATGTAATGAAGAGAGTTTGTCCATTTGTTTGTTTTAACTGGGTAATAGAGAAGTTCTTTGTTCTCTTAAGAAGAAAACTGCCACCATCAAATAAGACAAGACAAAATGTGAATCCCCGTAAGTCAGCAAGTTTCCCTGGTGTTCTCGGTCACTGCATCTATAAAGATACCAGGACAAGAGGTGCTTTATATGGACTCAAGTCAGCACAGACACTAGGATATTCTTTGTGGGGCGGGGAGATGGCTGAGTGATCACGAGTACTTTCTACTCCTGCAGAGGACCAGGATTCAGTTCCCAGCACCCAGTTCCAAGGGACCAAGGGAATCTAATGCCTTCTTCTGGCCTCTGGGGACACCTGCATGCACATGGTGCACATACATACATACACATACGTACACACACACACACAGAATCCGTAAAACTATGTTATTTGTTTAGTGTTCAATGCTTTTATAATTTCATCACTTGCTGACTTATTTATTTGCTTGCTTGCTTATTTATTTATTTATTTATTTACTTATTTATTTATTTATATGTTTTGGCTTTTCCCCCCAGTATGTATGTATGTATGTATGTATGTATGTATGTATGTATTTATTTATTTATTTATTTATTTATTTATTTATTTATTTATTTATTTATATGTTTTGGCTTTTTCCCCCAGTGTTAAGAGTTTGAATTTGGAGCTTTATTGGTAGTGGATCTGTTTATTTGTCTGGATGGTTCTTTGAGAGACACTGAGTTTAAGTGTCTATGTCACCATGTACTTCAGATGGGCTCAACTTCATCTTCCTCAATTACGCTGATTTTTTAATAAAGTCTCTTATAAAAATTGAGATTTCCTAATTCTCATGTTTGAGTGAGGTTTGAACACAACGATCTATGTATTAAGAGTCTGGCTGCGAACAGGAAATGTGAACGCTGACAGACTCTGAAATGTGATTGCTTGTTCTTGCAAGCATCTCGGCCACTGCTATGGATGAAGATGTGACACAAAGGGCGCTCAACCCAAGCTGAGCCAGTGCAGATACCTTCCCCTGCGCCTCTAGGCTATGAGCTAAATGAATCTCTTTTCTCCATCAGTATTTCATTACAATAACACAAAACTACACAAAGAACTAGAGTCTAGGGGTAGGACTGTTACAATAACTCTTTACTGAAAATGTGCAACTGGTTTTACAATTAGGCTTCTGGAAGAGTTAGGGAGAACACACTAGAAAAGCCTAGAATACATAAAGCAAGGCCTTATGGGCAATTCTGGAGGAAGCTCAGGAAGGAGTTAATGTTAATGGAAGCCTTCTCATGTCAATGTGTGCTAAATAAATCTTTTCTTCATAAAACTTGCCTACCTTGGGTATTTCATTGTAATGACAAAAACTTAGCAATGTGCCCATTTTTCTCTTCTAAAATTTTAAGATCTAGTAATTTAATTGGGTGACAATTCCACAATAGCTGAATCATGGCTACTCCCTTTAGACTGTCTTTTAGGGACTAGCTGTGTCAGGAACCTATAGATATTTGAGTGTGTGACCACTGCAAACAGAAGTGTTCCTTAGAAGTGGGTCTGGAGTTACAAAAGGCCTGTTTCTTTGTTCTGGGGCTACTGGACTTCAGTGTTGAAGTAGCAGCATAGGAATATGATATGGACATCTTTCCGATATACTGCCTGGGAGGAAGAGGATTACAGAGTACCACCTCTCTGTTCTCACCCCCAAACAAATGCACATTATCTGCTGAGAGGCTGTGCTGCTACTGATCTGTGTGAATAAAAATTACATATTCAATACAATGCTACAGCAATACAAACATCAGTGTGAAATTCCTATCTAATCTATACATTTGTACACCAAGTAAGGCTCTGAATGGCAGGTCTCAAAAACCAAAAACCAGGATTTCTGGAGAGCTCTGTGTGGTGACTTGTCAATCTCATTTCACATGGAATTACCACTTTGGTTCCCAGGCTCTGTTACACACTGAAACCATGGGGGAATCTTTCAACAAACACACACCGGTGTCAGTGCCCAAGTATTCTGATTTAACTAATACAGGCTGTGACCTGGACACTGAGATTTTTTTTAAAGCTCTCTGGGTAGTTTAAAGTACAAATTAGGAAACCACTAAATGCTATGGAAAATGCTCTGATTCCAACATGGTCTACAAAAACATATAGAAAAGTACAGAACTCTAAAAGTTAACATAGAAATAATAAAATGAGCTCAAGAGAGATAAAAGTGAGCTTCTATTGTATCTGGCATATAACAAAATAATCCATTTTCTTTTTTTTTTTTCGTGATTTGAATGGCTATTTGGCAACAGAATAATAAAAATTATCTTTAATTGATATCAAGATCAAAAGTTTTCAATTCTTCATCAAGTTGTTAGAATCTGCAGAAGACAGGAAATAGTGTCCATAACACTGAAAATATTTGCTCTAAGCAATTTATCAATATCACAAGGTGAAAATCCTGTTCTTAAATAAACCAGAATTTCTCAGGTAATTTGTTTCATTTAACAGATAGTTATTTGTTGTAAGTGGCAGGCTCTTCTGGAGAGTAGAGACACAGTTCACAACACACATACACACAGAAGGGAAAAGAACCTACATGTTCAGAATATATATGGATCTAAGGGGCAAGGAGAGAAGAACAGTCACAAAAGGAGGGAGTGGGGAGGGGTCATGAAACTAAAAATGGACATGTTAGCAAAGACTTCAAAAGGGGTTTCAAATGACTTACATAACCCATATATTACAGGTAATAAGATGTGCTAATAAATAATAATTCTAGCATCAGCAATATGGATAAACCTAAAGAGAACCCTACCTGCATGTGGGATCTTGGGGTTTTCAGGGAGTCTTCCAGGATCAGTTAAGGAGGCCCTCACTAAGGCAACCAGACAGAATATGGAAATGCCATAGAATACTGTAATATGAAATTAAATAGAGAAATTAGTCATTCACCCTTTAAAATGTTTTATCAACAAGCATAAAGTTTAAAAAATGCATTTTAATCAAACCCATCAGGATAACTTTATCAATAGACTAGATAGTAAAATGAAGAGGATTTCTTTTACTCATCAAATAGTCCTGCCAAGATGATAATAACTACACTAAATGTACCAATTTAAATATGATTTTCTATAATAACTGATAAACTTAAAATAAATGAGATTCTTTCACACAGTGACCTCTGATAATGATAAATAAATGGATGGACTCATTTAAAAGGATCAAAACAGCCTTTAAAAAAATTCCACATTTAACCTTTCATCAACTCTATCTTCAAAATTATCCTGATTATTAGTGAAATTCAATTGCTTCCTTTGATGAATCTTAAGAGAGGTACTCTTAAGAATTAAGAAATGAAGAATTAGAAACTTCTGAATGTTAAAGTAACCATAAAAATAATATTAAGGAGCAATTGAGATTCAGTCACAATAATTACACAATTGAAGTTAAAACATGGGCCTTTGTAGGGGACTAAAACACCAAGACAGTGAACACATGAAAGGCAAACAGTGTTCACTAAACGTGTGTCTGACTGCAACGTAAGTGTGTCTGTTTGCTTGTCTGTCTGATGTACATCTTACTACGGAGCTCAGGCTGGCCTAAACGTCACCATTTTCCTGCTTCAGTCTTCTGAGTGCTAGGACTACTGCATACATGATCATATCTAGCAATATGGATCAGTCTTGTCACATGTATAATAGGGATTATAATTTCTTATAGCTCTCAGGAGATCAAAATGAGGGGAAGAACATGAAAGCTGTAAACACTATGGATGACTTCATGAGTCATTTTTGGGGTCATGAAATTCTCATCTACCAGTAACATATCCCATCCCCTTCTCAATAATGCCTCCATTTTCAAGCCAGGCACAGTGACACATGCCTAGGGCCCCAGCATGAAGAAGGCAGCAGAAGAATGGCAACGCTGAAGCCATCCTAGGTGACAGAGGGAAGCCCTGTCTCAAATCATCAATCAATCAATCACCTCCCATATCTGCAGTTAAATCCAAAAGAGAAATAAAACTACTGTCAGGCTTCTCTCAACAAAATGGTCTTCAAGTACTTTTCAGAGTGAAATGAATATGGAGGTAGAATCTTAACTCTGCAAGTCCAAAAAAGCTACTGTTTTATACAACTGTAATTTAAGTGAAAGGTTAGCAGTACTACTGAAATAGCACATTCAAAGGAAGTCATGGAGACAGTCTACTTCAAAACATTCACAATGAGATAAAAAAAATCTTTATAGAAGGTAATAAGACTTAGAAACTTACTTATTATTAAAATGCCTGGAATATGTCCTTCTTCATAGTGAGGAAAGAGGACAATTTTGGGAATTAAAACAATATTGTATAACCAGACAAAGACAATCAAACCCATGCAGCACCAACCATGTGGGTCAACAACAAAGTGAATCCGAAGACCCATCCTGCAGTCCTAGAACTGCCTGCCAACCCACAGGAAGACAACCTAAGAGAGAGGAAAAGGGAAAGTTACCAACACGGAGAAATTACTCAGTGAAAAACTGTGTCCCTGGAAACTACATGACAACATTCACTGAATTTTCTTTGTATATTTAGGTTTTGTCCACTAGGAATTTAGGGGAACAAATAGAGAAAGTTCACTATAATCTTCAAATAATTTAATTTTAATTGTTCATTCTAAATCTTGACTAGTAAAAGTAAAAATTGGCATGATATGCTCAAATGAAAATACTTTTTTATCCTTAACTACAAATGCCATGTGTAGACACAAAAGAAAGAGTGACTATTCCACTGAAAAACATGTACAAAAGTCTTAGCACTTTAACCAGGAGCCTAACACCACAGACTCGAATCTGGTTATCTTACAGAAGAGGTGTGTTCTAGCTGGAAAGGAATTTGAACTGCTAAAGGGCCAAAAACATCTGCACCTCTATCTGGGTAGTACTTTGCAGATATATGCAAATATAAACATAAAGACTGTAATATGTACTTAAAACCGCAATTAAAAAATGTTATAAACCATTTTGAAAATGCTAAAACTAAGTGAAAATTACAAATAGTTAAAATGATTAAAATTTGTGGGATGAAGCCCAGCTAATTTCATTACTATCAACTAAAGAAGACTCTTGTTTAAATGGGACTTGCATTCAGCTGAGAGTTAGCAACAGATCTCCATGATGCAATCTCCAAGTGAGCTGAAATTTCAATCACAAGTGATGTCCACAAAGTGACCTACAACATATCCATTCTGTAGTGGGTATAACTTACAAAGATTAAACAGCAGCTTATTGTATATAGTCTAGGGGCATCTCTGACATAAATTATTGTGGTATAATAATAAATTAGGCCAGTCATCCTCAAACTTGCAGCAAACCGGAATCAATTAGGGAGCTTTAAAAAAAGGGAGAGAGAGAGAGAGACAGATTCCCAGACCCCATTCTAGGGTCACTGAATAATTCCCGACAAGGCTCAAAACCCAAGATGACTGCTGCTGGCTCAGTACTTGTACCCGCTGCTTCCTAGACATTGTAGATACAATTATCTTGTTTTGTTTTTTGAGACAGGGTTTCTCTGGGTAGTTTTGGTGCCTGTCCTCGATCTCACTCTGTAGCCCAGGCTGGCCTCGACCTCACAGAGATCTGCCTGGCTCTGCCTCCAAGTCCTGGGATTAAAGGCATACAATGCCCAGCTGTAGATACAATTATTAATAAGGCATGATCTTTGCTTAAATCAGTGGTTCTCAACTATGAGTCATGACCCCTTTGGCAAACCTCTATCTCCAAAAATATTTACATTACAATTCATAACAGTAGACAATTACAGTTATGAAGCAACAATGAAAATATATGGTTGGAGACCACCACAACAGGAACTATATTAAAGGGTCGGAGCGTTAGGAAGGTTGAGAACCACTTTCTTAAATATACAAGTCCAACTGGAAAAAGTCATTTTAAAGGGGTTAAATTTACTATGGTAAGTTCTAGATCTGTGAACAAGTTGTCAGTAAATGCACAAAAGGTGGGGCCTAGTTACATCGGGACTCAAGCAGGACTTCCTGGAACAGATACAAACTGAGCTTAATCTTAAAAGACATAGAAGTTATCTTGGGAGAAAAAAAAAAAAAAAAAAAACATGGCAAAGGACTGCAAAAAGAGGCAAGAGCAGGGTGACTATGACCTGAGCATCACAGGAGGGTCACAATCTGCCACCAAAAGTTATAATACCTCCCAGGGACTGTGACTCGGGGAACACAGAGGAGTTCTACCATGAGGGAAACAGAGATGTCATTTAGAATGCTCAAACTTTATTCTTACCCACAGGAAAGCTATTAAAATGGGGGTTAAGTAAAATTTCTACTTTAAGTTATTGACACTCATGTGGAGACTAAAGTTAAAGACACATCAGTTAGAATAAAAGAATACAAAAGCCAAAATTAATTTTAGAGAAGAGACCAATTAAAGTAAAATCAAATCAGTGAGCCTTACTAATTTATTCACTACTAGGAATTAAAGAATAGACAAGGATGACTCTCAGATCTGCAGTTGATATGATACCCCCAACTACGTGATTCTCCCACCAAAGGGCCTTTAGGGTGCTCAGCGGGGCCATAGGCTACCAAAACAAAGATCAAAGGCCACTTAAGTTAAAAAGAATACCTCTTCTCTCATCCTTAGAAACTCCCAACTCCTGAAGCAACAGAAAAAAAAGAACTCAGCTAAGCAACAGTAGACTTCTTTTTTTTTTTCATATTTATTTATTTATTTATTTATTTATTTATTTTTCTATTATCAGCTTGATACAGTATAAATTCTTATCCTAATAGTGAAATGTTTCATTGAGGCTTGCCCAGTAATTGAGTAAAACCAAAACTTATTATAAGCCACAGTCATCCTAGGGTTCCTTCCCCCTGCTAGGTAGCCTCCCTGGTTCTGTGGGTTGCAGTCTGATTGTTCTTTGCTTTATATCTAGTATCCACTTATGAGTGAGTACATAGTCCTTCTGGATTTGGGTTACCTCACTCAGGATGTAGTTTTTTCTGGTTCCATCCAGACTTCTTGCCTAGCATCAATCCCCAGAACAACCATGAAAATAAACTAACTTAAAAAAATATATATTTAAATTAAAAGGTACTAGTTTCCCCTTGGGAAAAAAAAATGGCAAGAATTCAAACAAAATACTCTCAACAATTTAAATCAGATAAAGTTCAAATCAGTATTTTTATAAGAATGCTAAAATAGGAATAGAGCCTAGGTCTTTTAAAAAGACCATTTAGTCAGAAACTTACAGGACAGTTCAGTGTCACTAAATAAAGAAAATCAGAGAGAATAAAGAACATTGTGTATTTCCTAGGAATCATCACACTAAAAACTAAAGAAGCACAAATACAAATACATACATAGTTAGAGAGACACATTCCAAAGAATAATTTGAGAGGATGGGAAGCTGAACAGGAGCTTTGCTATGTAACTATCAAGGGCTACAAGAAAAGACAGAGGCTCTGACTCCCAACATACTCAGTAGTAAGAACTTCATTTGCCTCTTCGGCTTTCCATGCTTTGGTTCTACCCAAGACTGAAAACTCATTTCACATGCTAGAGGTCTTTTGTGGCTCATTCCTAATCTTGTTAACACGAGAAACAGAAACACATACAAATCTGCTAAGCAAGTAGGAAAATCATCATCTATTCACCTTTTGAACTGTTTTTTGATTCCTTCAGTTTTGAAGTGACAATGTTTCCTTATTATTAAAGATCAATCCCTCACAACAGAAACTACCACACAGTGACAAAACCACTTAAGATGGCTCTGTTTCCCTGAATGAAAATATGAATGGGAAACTCTAAAACAGCATCCTCGCGAAGACCAAGCCCAGAGAAATTAAGCAGGGAACACACTGCTGAATACTGAAAACCAATACCTGATCAGTAAAAATCAGCGGCACATGGTCCTTACAGTAGGCCGGGAGAACCGTGGTCTTCCGAGAGCCCACAGCTGCTCACAGCCAAGAGCCTGTGACTTGTGGAGTGGCAGGATCACGCCAGTGTGGATGGCTACCAGGTGTGGCTGATGGCTGGACAGAAACTATTACACACTCTGAGCAACAATCAAGCTGAACAGCGCTGCTCAGGCTTACGGGCGGCATTTGCCAAATACTTTCATTAGCTGGCGATCCCCACATGCTAATTTGTATATTAAATGTGAGCTCATAATCAAACTTTGAAGTGACTAGTTGATGAACTGGTTCATCAACTCCGGAATTTCTATCTGGTGACTATAGTAGAATGACTAGTTTCATATGGATGTAAATTACTACAGCACAAACTACTTTTAAAGAAATTATAATTCAACTATAATAAACTGCCCTGAGGAAATATTTACAATGTTCAGTTTATTCTGAAGGAATACGATCTTTCCTGTCTTGAACCTTCAATGAGCCACCTCAGAAAAAAGCTTTGAGTCACTGAGGAAAAAAATAACAAAAAAAAAAAAAAAAAAAAAAAAAAAAAAATGACTAAATGACAGAAGATTGCAATATCCGAGTGAAAATTTTAGAGAAAAATAAGGATTAGCCAAAATAACTAACAAGAAATGAAGTCAAACACATATTTGTAATCTTAAGTTTTCTATTTAGCTAAAACTGGTTTTATTACTATTCCATAAGCATGAAAAATATTCATCATTTGCTGTTCGTGTCTGAAGTATCCCCAGCACTCTGCTTACTGTTTAAATTTAACTCATGATCCAAAGCTAATGCAAACTTCCCTGGTCCTTTAGTTCACAATGATAGTATGTATGGCTGATAAGCAACAGACAAAGTAAATATATGAGGCATCAACTCACAAACAGAAGAAAATCTAATGGGTCGTCATTCCTGATGAGGAAATGCGGGGTGACTAGGTATTTTTTCACATGTTGAGAAGGCACAGGGAAAAGAGCACTCCTATACATTGCTGACCTGCATGTAAATGATATAGTCCTCTTGAGAGGGCAATTTGGCACACCCATCAAAACGTGAAAGCCTTTAGCCCAGCAGTTTTATTTATACTACCTATGAAAGCACACTCCCAAGTGTGCAAAGTAAACAGAACAAGGATATACAGAGATACAACACTTTTAGTAATCATGAAAGTACAGTACCATCCAAAGGCTATCACAGATTTACCAAACTTGGGAAAAGCACATTTGAGATTAAGGCATTCTGTGCTATGTGCATGGCACTTTACAAAGCCACACTATAAGCCAATCCTGCACTCTAGTTAATAATGACCAATACTGAAGTATGAGGGTGGGGTTCCTGATGTCTGCAAGTTACTCTGAAATAGAATAATAACAATGAAGTTGACTGATGGGTGGACCGAGAGACAGTGAGTATATGATGAAGTTCAGACCATCAGTTACAGAACCTAAGTGATGGCATCCAGCTGTTACACCTCCATATTTATTTCCATGTTCATTTAGATTTTTTTCAAGGTGAAAATTTGGGGGCCTAAATTATAGAGCAGCTTGTATAATAGTTTTTATTAGATAAAATAGAAGAGATTTCTACAGAGTAGACAGGAAAGCCTGAAGGCAACGGAAACCAAACTGCTAACCATGCTCATCCATGATACAGATGGGTTCAACTCTTCTGTGCTGATTGAGCTCACTGGGAAGCTGGCTCTGGAAGCTGGGTTACAACCCATTTCAGACCCAAGCATGCTTATTCCATACATCCTCCAAAACCAAGGAGGGGTTGGCCTGCCTGAGTCTGTGACAAGGAGGGAAGAAAACTGCACAACAGCCTAAAAGTAAAAACTCTGTGTCCTTGAGAACGGTAGAAAGTGAACCGTCTCCAACTCAGAATGGACGTTCAGCCGTGGGCGGGCCGTCCATGGAGAGAAAGCTCCCACGCTGACTGAACTGAATGGGAAGTACAGCTGACTGCCTCGACTCCCCAGTGGATTTCTGCTTGCCGCGGCAAGGCCATGGCTTGACGTCACCTGTGTTTGCTATCTCAGCCAAGCCACTCCAGGGTCGCTACTGGACAGTGTAAATCCTAAC